TATATATCACAATAAATTATTTTAATATTCAATATGATGACCAATATAAGCCAGACTTATTTTTTTTGATACCAAGATAATGATTAAATAAGTTTCAAAAGTATTTGATATTTGATACTTAAATAATAAGCAAATAAGATTTATTGTTTTGATATAACTAAAAAGGTTTTAAAGGATTTATCATTAAATTTTTAAAATAATAATCAAAAAGGTTTAAAGAATTTTATCATTTGATATTCAGAACTATAATTAAAGGTTTTATCCTAAAAAGCTTATTTTTCTACTACTAAACTTTTGATATATTTTCAAGAATATTATATATATTTTATATGTGAATGTAATGATATTTTCAAAGAATTCTTATTATTAATTTTTTTATTAATATTTTATAAAATAAATTAAGTTATAAAAGAATATTAATTTAAGTTAAATTCTTTAAAATATTTATAATAAAATTTTTAATACTAATTGTTATTATTAAATTAATCTACTAATAATATTAAATAGTTCTAATTCATGCAAGTTAAACTATAATAATCAAGTAATCAATGATTATAAAAAGATAAAAAATAACTATAATGAGCTATATTTAATAGTAATAAAATCAAAATATTAAATCAATAAAAATCTAGTTATTTCAAATAGTTCTATTATAAATAATATGTTATCTATCGATACTAAAGATTAAAATTAGTATTTTTTAATACAAATTAGCATAATAATTATAATAAATTATATTTTCATCTTTTATGATTACAAGATAATAAATATTTTTAATATTTTTGGTATTAAAACAAATTTTAATTAAACTTATAATTTCATATTTTGGTAATTTGTAATTTACATACAAAAATATTAAATATTTCATTACTATAATTATAAAGAATAAATCATAGTTATTAAATTCTTTCATATTCTAACATTGATAGATAATATATTATTAGTAAATTATAATTTATAAATATTTTGAAATAGCTATCTATTGATTCTAGAATTTAGATTTTATATTTTTCAATTTCAGCTTGTTATAACAATTTCAATAAGCTAAATTTCATTTTTTACAATTATTGATTGAGTTATTACAATTTAACTTGCTTGAATTAAAATAGTTTCTAATAGTTTTACCAAGTTAGTATACTTCTTATTATAATATTATATGTTAACCAATATATATTATTTATTTATCTATTGATATTTTATAGTATTTTATAATTATTCTTTTAATAATAAATATTCTGATACTTTTAGCTATAAATCAAATATTTTGCATAGTTTTTAATTATATCAGATATATCATTATATTTAAAATAAAGATCGGGCCAAATGATTGATTTACCGATTTTCAATAGAGATCGGTTCATTCAAAATTCAATACTAAGTTGTCAAAATTACTGATCATCTAATTAATAAGTAGATCTAATGGCAAAACATTTGAGCGCCATTGTGCATGTGTCAATGAAATAAAATCCGCTTCTATTCGTCAAAATATCGAACTTTCTGTTCAAGGGACTTGCATTTAAAATTTGAAACTTTAATGCATGCAATTTGCCTACATGCTGTGATATTCAAAACTACAATCTTTTTTTATTTATCACTATTTAAATTAACTCAAGTAAATTTCGCAACAATAATAATTAATTTATTTAATAAATTAAATTTTTTTTATTATTTTATTATTAATAATAATTATAAATATATTATATATCTTCAAAAGTCTATAAATAATAATTATTATTAACCTTTTAACATTTCTTTAGTTAATTAAAATATTACTATTATTCGCTTAATAAAGTTTCTACATGATCAATATCATTTCTTATTTTTAATAATGCCATTCTATATGCTCTAATGTACATTTCTATGGGACCGCCAGGTCGATTCCATCCTAACTTTAATGCACCCTTCATTAAATCTCTAATAAAAACTTCCTTTTCTATAGGATTATTGTTTAATACTTTTAAATCATTTATAGAATTATTTAATGCAGCTTTCATATCATTAATTGAAAGTTTAATATTTGTTTCATCTAATAAATTAAATAAATAAGAATTATAACCATCTTTCATACTTAAACTTGTCTTATTAACTAAAAATTCTTTTAATCCTCCCACACCGGTACTAACTATTGGACATCCAAATAACAATCCTTCGGCTGCTGTTAATCCAAAACTTTCTGTTTTGCTCGGTACAAATAATATATCAGCCGCCGCTCTATATAAAATTCCCCAATTTGTTTGAAATTCTACATCTTGTATAATCAAAACATTATTAGGATAAATAGTTACAAGTTGTTGTAATGAATCTATAGGATAATCGCTTATTTGTCCCATAATTATAAATAAAACATCTTGTGATGCTAAAAGTTCTGTTGCTGCTTGGAAAAAATCCAATCCCTTATTGTACTGAAATTTTCCAATAAATAAAACGATCATGCGATTTAAATCTCCATATGATAATAATCCTTCTCTAATTAAATGTAATTTTGCACTGTACTTTGATGTGATGATAAGTGATTGTGAGGAATTCTCTATAGTTTCAGCATATAAAAGAGCTGCGTCAAAAGTGTAAATGTTTCTAGGAAAATTTGAATTGGTTTCAATCAACATGGTGTTGTTGAATGGGTTAAATCCAGTAAAATCAAGACCATTCGTGATACCAATCCATTCTCCCTTAATAGCCCTATTAAGGATACTTGGCATTATGAGTTCCTTTGCATAAAAATCTAATGAGCCTTCTATCATTTCTTGAGCAATTATTTTTGACACAAATGTTACAATTTGGGCTTGGTCGATCGCAACAGCTGACGTGTACATTCGATGTCCATGAAAATATTGTGGTTTAATTTCCGTATAATTTCCTAAATCTAAAAATTTTTGCACATAACTAATCGAATTTGAATATATTGGCTCCTCAATGTAATCATGTAAAGTATAAGCAATTGCTGGTTTCGGCCATCTGACCTTTTCTTTTACATATAAAGAATTCATAAATTCAATAACAAGCGCATTAGAAGATCCATGAATGTGCACAACATCTACGCCTCTAGCGTCTGTTAAATCGAAAAGTGGTGTATCGATATCTGTATTAAGATATGTAATCAATTCAGCGACCGCCTTACAAAAATATACATCTTCCCATTCTTGTGGCAATTGTCTTAACGGAGAATAATAAATTTCCGAAACATCATTAGCTTTAAAAGCTGAATGAAAAGAATCTGATTCCCTTGATGGCGGTCCAATCACATAAACTCGAATAGAATAGGGTTTTGGAGGTTCCGAACTCATAACATCAGGATTATCGGTGATGTTCCACCAAAACCTGTTTACCATAAATTTCACAGGCTGTTGTTTGCCATGTCTATCTCGAACTTGAACCTCTAATTGAGCGAATTTCTCAGATCTGTATAAATTCCTCAAATAACTATAATAAGGTAATATTACGTGCACCGCATATGATCCATTATTTGCTTGCGCTTGTGCTAAACCTGTTACTATCTGACCCATGCTACCCAACGTTGCTGGTCCAAATTCTTTACTAACATGATAGATTGTCGTTCCATTTGATAGTTTATCTGGTACATTTGGATCCAGTCCAAGATATGGTACCGGATCATATGTTTGCTTTTCTAAAAAAATTTTTTTTTTAAAAAAGGATAATTTTAATTCATTACTAAATTATATATATATATAATAAAGATGTTGTATGTCTATCCCATCGGATATACCATAAAAGAATAAAAAACCGTACCTAATATAAGCTTATCATTTTCCCACAATATTGAGCCCAGTATAGTAATGAATGCTTGAAATAAAGTAAGACCAATTAGTATTAAAATAATAAATGAAAACCATCTGCATCCTTTTTTCTCAAGTAGAGGTCCCAGAAACGGTATTCGATAACCCATTCTAACTGAACGTTGAAAGAAATTAAAATACATTAATGTTTCCTTTTCTGAAGAATGAAAGGAATTTAAAAGAGTATACTGAGATGGCACTCGAATATTTGGTGAAACTGATCTTGATCTCGATTTCATATTAACAATATTATAAAAAGAATCGAAAAATAGCATACAATTTAATTGCCACAGCATGGACAATTATCACACTTCTACATTATTCGTGCGACAAATAATAAAAGTGTCGCACATGGCAAAATGGCGACTGAAACGCCCATAAAATAACTGAAAAGGAATAATATCATTACTTTTTAGTTGATCAATTTTGAATTGTCTCCTGATGGAGGTTAATTAAATATCTAATTATGGAATCTAGGTTCGAAATGATTCCACATACGTCAATTTTATGCAGAAAAAAAAAATATAAAAGCGGATCGATAAGCTTGTAAAATTGACACATTTGACGATTGTTCTGCTATGTCTCGAGACTTGACACTTGAATTACAGTCCATTCGCGATGGTAAAGCTTCTATCGAACATCAAATCGATATTCATGGTAATATATACATTTATTCTTATCGTATCATTTTATTTTTTATTTTGGTAGTTTATAAATTTGTATTATAATTCCATGTATCGATTCAGTAAACGACCTTTTTGGCGTCAAAGAAAACCAACAACTATCTCTCGAAGATGTACTTGCAGGATTACGTTATGTTATGGACTATCGCCTTAAAGGCGGTAGACTTCCAAACTTGGATCTTGATCTAATGAAACGGTTATGTGAAGGTTTATTATTAAACATGTCCTATTCAGAAGGAGGATTACTTAAACGTAAAATGACAACAGAGGCTAATGAGGCCTTTATCCTTTTTGGAGAATTTCTTGAAGAAGGTATTGATATTTTTCACTATTAATTTTGTCGATGAACAATTGATGGACTCATCAATCAACTCTTTTTTTTATCGATCCACAATTCTAATAGTGGAAGAATTTCGTACGGCTGTTGGTGAAAAGAATATATCTGATCTATACAATTCACTCAAACTTCATCGTAGATGTCGTAAAGATGCAGATCCGGAAGTAAAGCAGGCTGCTGCTGCTATCATTTATATGTTGACAGAATGGTTTCCTCAATTTTCGGATTGGCATGAATTGGTTAAAGAAGAAGAACAAAGTGATGTAGAAAAGGTCTTAAAGGAACTTACGGGTACGATCAAAAAACCCAAAATGCCACCACTCCAGGGAGTCGCTTTGCCTCCACCTTGTAAGTAAATTTATGATTTTATAAAGTAAATCATCACCAGTGCTCTAACTAACTAATAAGTGTATTGCAATACTTAGCTTTGTACTTTGATCGTGATGTCACTCGATTACTGAAAATGTTTCGCACTTCTCTCACGGATGGTTTGTCATCAACTCTAATTGAGCAACTATTGAATCATTATGGTTCAAATAAACTCCCAGAACCACCAAAACCTTCGATATTTATGATAATACTTAACCAATTAAAGGACTTCATGGTTTTGATCTTGTTGGCTGCGACAGTTGTATCTGCAGCAGAACAAGACTTTAAAGGAATGGCTGTTTTGCTGTTTGTAATCGTCCTTAACACAATAATAGGATTTACACAAGAATATAAGGCAAATAAGGCTTTGGAGGCCCTACAGAAGTTAACAGTGCCAAAGGTGAGAAGAGTTTAGTAATTTGTCGCGTGCGCACGTGTTTTCTCCATTTAACCGAAGGATCATATATTAAGGCACGAGTGATCCGTGACGGTGAACAAATAATCGTCGATTCCTTCCAACTTGTTCCAGGTGATATTGTGGTCCTTGATGAAGGTGATGCTATTCCCGCTGATGTGAGAATTGTTGAAAGTTCTCATATCCAAGTTATTGAATCTATTTTAACCGGTGAAAGTCTTCCCGTGCATAAATCTATTAAGAAAATTTGGACAAGTGTAATTATTTATTTTATATAACTTATTTCTACCAGTTCAAATTACTAAAATTTAAATCATAGACTAGAAGTCTTCCGTTGGGTGATTGTAAGGGCAACGCATTTATGTCCACAGTTGTTGCAAAAGGACGTGGCAAAGGTCTTGTTGTTCGTACTGGAAACGATACAGAAGTAAGAAATATTTTAAAATTAAGAAAATTAAAGATGATTATCATTCTAATTTCAACTTTTTCCAAAATTATTTGAAAGGTTGGTAAAATCAGTGCTGCTATTACGTCAGCACCAAAGATTAAAACTCCAATTCAACGCAAGTTGACTAGACTTGGACAATGGCTCGTTGTTGTTGCAATATTATTGTGTGTCTTGATTGTTGTCATTGGTATTGTTTATAAACACAATGTAAAAGAAATGATTACTATTGGAATAACGTATGCGGTATTTCTTATTTAACTGTCGTTCTAATTCTGAAATGCATAAGGTCTAATTTTTTTTTATTTATTTAAGTTTGGCTGTCTCCGTTATCCCCGAAGGTTTAGTAGCCGTAACAACCGTCACAATGGCTATTGGTGTTCGTCGAATGGCTAAGCGTAATGCCATCGTTCGAACATTACCTGCGGTTGAAACTTTGGGTAGCGTTACTGTTATTTGTTCCGACAAAACGGGCACTCTAACCGAAGGAAAAATGGGACCAAGCGAGTTGTGGACTGCGGAGGATTCATTGTACTCTTTTACTGAACCAGCCTCATTAAATCCAAATGATGGTGGTATTTTGTTCCTTTCTAAGGAATATCGAAACATAATTCTTAAGAAAAGTCGAACCTCATCAAATTCATTGTCTTTATCTGAAAAGATAGATCAAAACGTAATAAAACCTCAAGAGATACCGAGAAGTTCCTCAAATCTTCCTGTTCATATGATGACAGCACTTATGATTTCTTCTCTATGTAACAATTCTTCTGTAACAAAAAATGATGATGGTGAATGGAAAGGAATTGGAGATCCTACCGAAGTAATTATACAGTATAAAGTTGAAGATGGTTTTTTAATATATTTATGAACACCATCTAATATTTTTTTTTTTTTAAATTATAAAAATTCAGGTAGCTTTAGTTCTTGCAGCCCAAAAAGGAGGCTTTACCAGGAATTATTGGGAGAAGGAATGCGGTTTCACCAAAGTTCACGAAAAACCTTTTGATAGTGAAAGAAAACTTATGAGTGTTGTATATGAGACTACAAATTCAGAACATTTAAATCTTGTAATGGCGAAAGGGGCACCAGAAGAATTACTTCGTAAATGTACACATCATTTACCGAACGTTGAAACTTCAAGTACTATCGAACCACTTAATTTGATCCTTGGGCAAGAAGATGGGTTTCAGCTTGAAGAATTAAATGATGACTTTGTTGATCTTGTATCAGAACAAAGCTCAAGAATGGCGTCACAAGGGTTGAGAGTTCTCGGATTAGCTTTCAAATCTGTATCTATTGATGATAGTTTTCCTATTACTGCATCATCGGAAGAAGCGATTGTTGGAGATTCCAAAGAATCTGAAGAAGATTCTGCATCACCTACTGCTAATCCATTGTTTGCAGAAGATAATTTAACTTTTATTGGGTTGATTGGATTAATTGACCCGCCTAAGAAGTCAGTTGCCGAATCCGTTCAAAAGTGTAAGAAAGCCGGTATTAAAGTTGTTATGATAACCGGTGACCATGTCGCTACTGCTACAGCAATAGCAACTGATATTGGTATCATTGAACCTAATGTGCCGAATATGGTATATACTTTATTATTTTCTGCATATAGTGTTCTGATTAAATTTTAACTTGCTTTGCATTATAATATGTAGAGTCGTGCAATTCTTGGTGCAGAGCTGGATCTTTTATCAGATGATGCGATTGCAGAATTAGATCCATTTCCAAATGTTTTCGCTCGTGTCAGGTAATTAATACATAAGTAGTCAATATTTTCTCTGTCATCTTAAATTTATATCCTCTTTCTATAGTCCCGACAATAAACTTAAAATTGTCAAAGCATTACAAAACATGGGCCATTCAGTATCTATGACAGGTGACGGTGTAAATGGTACGGACATTTAAATAATTCACATATCATTTATATTTTAATTTGTTAAACTAACAATAACAATTTAAATTGGTAGATGCTCCCGCAATAAAAGCCGCGGATGTGGGTGTTGCGATGGGAATCAGTGGCACAGAAATCACAAAACAAGCAGCAGATATCATTTTGGCAAATGATGATTTCTCAACAATTGTTGTTGCAGTTGAAGAGGGTCGACAAGTTTTTGACAATATTCTCAAGTTTATTGTATATCTTTTAAGTTGTAATGGTGCCGAAATTATTATAATGTTGCTTTGTTCTGCAATTAATATTGAATTACCATTTACGTCGATTATGATCTTATGGGCTAATATCATTGGTAATGTATTAATTGTTTCGTATACTGTAAATGCTCGTCGTCATCATATTTTTATATCTTTTTTTTGTTGTATACGTAATAGCTGATGTTCCACCTGCAATTTCACTTGGCGTTGAACCGGCTGAAAAAGATATTATGCAACGAAAACCAAGAAGTCCAAGAGCACCCGTTCTTAGTAAAGTTGCAACAACAATACTTATTATGCAAGCATTTACTATGGCATTGTTGCCGTTTGGAGTTTATATGCTTGCAATGAACAAACATATTGAACCGGAAATAACATTAGAAGAAGCAAAGTCATTAGCATTTGCTACTTTAACAACAATGCAACTTTTTCAAGGTTTCTTATCAAGAACATTAAATGAAAGTCTTATTAAAACTGGAATATTTGGTAATAAGGTATGTATGAATTTATTAATTTAAATACATAATTGCGAATTTTTATTTATTTATTTTTTTTTTTTGTATAGTGGATGGTCGGTGCTGTATTCGGATCATTATTTTTAATGCTTCTGGGTGTATATGTTCCAGGTAATGAAATAAATGTAATAATAATAATTATTATTTATATGCATAAAGAATATAACCTTTAAAATTGTTTTGATTATATGTAGGAATCAATTCCTGGTTGGAACTCACACCTGTTCCAGCTTTTGGTTGGGTTAAAATTTTAATATGTTGTATTATTCAATTAGTTGTTAGTGAAATTGGTAAAGCATTCGCAAGGAGATATAGGGATTCACAATAATTATTACCAATTACGATAAGCGATTTTTATTACTGTAAGGCAATAAATATCAAATGCTTTTTGCTTTTTTTTTTCAGATATATATAAAAAATGGGATAAAATTTAATATTCAAATTAAAGATATATTAATATATCAAAATTAGTCTAACCAAAATAGTAATATAATTAAAATAATTTAGACAAATTAACTTGTATAATAATTAGTTAGTAATATAACATTCGATTAATAAATAAATTCTTTTATTTAAAATTGAATCAAATATCACGTGAAACCGCAGTATTACGAAATATGACATAATGTTTATATAAATTCAATTAAGCTTCGTTAAACTTTCTAAACGATTGAACTTTCTCTCTCCTTCTTTATAACTAATAATCACACACATTTGTTTTTAACCTTTTTCTTTTAATACAAACAATCATGAATGACCAGATCAATTTAAATAATCAACAAAAAATTCAAAGAATTACAGTTTTCTTAATTTCAGTAATTCTTTCAATTTCTCAAAACTTTGGCTTTTAAATATATGGGAGCTGATCTATTAAAAGTGGGTTATGAGACATAGTAAATCATATGATCCGTACCTCAATTTTAATAGAATACTACCCATATTATCTAGTTTATGTTGTAAACCTCGTTTATTAATATCATTTTATAAAGTACTTCAATTCATGTTATACCTCATACAATAAACATGAAAAACTATTAGAAAAAAAAAGAAAATTAGATCTTTTAAGAATTAAAAAGCAAAATAATATTTGGAATCTATGTATAATAAATAATATAGATTTTAAGAAAAAATAATTTACTTTTGGAAATATTTATAATGTTAATCAAATGACTTCACATGCTACTTGTAATAAATATTAAATTTAAATAATAATGAATCAATAGAAATATGTTGTAATGAAGCTATTTTTAGACGTGTAATTAAATTACATGAGAAAAATACAAATATTAGGCCTTTATTAGGATAATGACATACTTTTAAAGATATATGTAATGTTTTATTAAATTTATTTTCAAGTTATGGTATCTATAATTTAGCAGCTAATTTAGGTATAAAATTTTTTGACAAACTAGAATTAATTGTTGATTATAGATCAACTTATTATATATTAGATTTAATATAAATAGCTATTAGTTGTTCAATAAAAATATATTGTATCAAAAACAATATTATTTTTAATCAATTGAAGATAGAACAAATAAAATATGGTATTGTTTTTATAAATGGGGTGGTTGGTGGAAATTACATTGAGCAGGAATACGTACAGGAAATAAAATGTACAACTTAATTTTTAGCAGCATTTGCATTTTTATTTTCAGCAGCTGGCAAATTAAATTACATTAAATCAACTGTTCAATTTCTTGCTTTATTAGAAAAATATCCAAAAATGAAAGAATTACTTTGGTATGCTAAATCAGTTAATCTTACATGTGATAAATATTATTATGCTTATGATAAAGCACTAGAAACATTTGGAGTAAAATTTATTAAAGAAAATATTATAGAAAATGTAATTAATGAAGATAATTTAAAAATCAAATAAAAAGCTCACAAATTGAAAGAAAAAGAATAGATTTATTATTTAATGAATTTATTGGTGATTATATAACAACTGGAGGAAAACATTTAGTTGATCAAAGAAAAGAAGCTTTAATGACTTTAATAAATACACTTGTAGAAACATTTGAATCTGTAGAATCTATAAAACATCAATTATTTAAAAATTGTAATAACATAACTAAATAATATCATATCAATAGTATCAATTTTGGACTAAATCACAAAATTCAACACAAAATAAACAAATATTGGCTATTTTTTACCAAATGGGATTTTTTGTCAATGATTCTTTAAATTCTGCAGAAACCTTTTAGTCTTGTTTCTGATAAGCTTTAAATGATAATAAAAAAATTAGAGATGAAAAATGCTGAATTTTATTAATTATATCCAACGATTTACCTATAAAGAATTAGAAATCAATCTAAGGATAAGAAAATGACTTTACAATATTACATTATCAATATAACTAATTAGTATAATTATAACATAATAAGTTGGATCTCATATCATTATTGAATCTAAAAGACATACTATATTGAATGGTTTTAGTGCTCTGCCTCTTGAAAAACCAAAATTTCATTGTCTAAAACTTACAATAGAGCAATTGATCAGTTTGATCGCTTCTTTATGAGAAAGGATATTTTTAATATGAGTTTCTATCGAAATCATTCAAAATCAGGCTTACCAATAATATATTTGCAAGATCATAAACAGGCACTTTGGAAAAATTTTCTGAAGAATATTCAAATGGAATGTGTTGTATAATATTTATGATACATTTACAGGAAAGTAGATTTGTTTATTAGGATGATCTAGGTGGTCTTTGCTCAGAATGCAATGAATGTGAATATGAAATTTTTGCATCCATTAATACTATCATTGCCACCCATGTAAAAGATAAATCTTTAAAGGTATTTCAAAAATTTGTTGCATTTAGATTGATGTTTAATGGAGTATTTAATATTTATTACATTACAGGAAAAGCTAACTCAAAAATCATATATTTTAAGAAGATATATGAGGTGTGAATACATAAAAGGATTAGAAATAATATCATCGGGAATTCCAGTGCCTAAACCTTGCATATGTCATTGCTTTAGATATTTATTTGAGGTTTGTAATATTCAACATTCTGAAATATATAGTAATTGTGAAGAATTGTTCCATTTTTTTATCTAATTAAAAATGATGTAAATGAAGAATTACATGAATCATTAGATAATTATTTAAAGAAATTAATTTTATGGATAGGACATCATGGCGAAAATTATATTTGAATACTCACATTTAGGTGAATTTTGATAAGTTAGATGAAAATGGGCGGTAATTATAATTGATTATAAAATGAGAATATTACCATATAGTACAAGAGAAACTAAATCTCAATTTTTTGAAAAAAGAGGTTGAACATTGCATTCTTCATTAGTATACACAAAAAATATTATAAACAACAAGTTCAATATACAAGTATTTGACCATTAGAGTGATAATACAAGTCAAAACGTCTGATTCATAACATCTGCTCTTCATACAGTTTTCAAAAATCTTGATCCAAAACCAAATTAGGTAACAATAATGTCAAATAATGGGTCTCATTATCATTATACAAAGCTAATGTTAATTATAGGTCATTGGAAGGATTGGTACAATATTATTCCTCAAAAATGGATTTCTTTGAAAGCTGGCGAAACCAAATCATTGATAGATTCTCATCACACACAAGTAATTATACTGCTTATTTAGTCTATTATTATTCTTTTCTTATTTACCCATTTTTGATTTTTATTAGATATCACAAGTGATAAAATGATATGTTAGATTGGGTGGTACAATTGAATCTGGAAATGATATAGAAACTGCAATCTATGAGATTGCAGGAACGAAAGTTGCTAATTTATTGCCAAATCATAGTCAAGATATTTTTAGTAAATCATCAAATAATATTTTTGGTTGCCAACAATAATCATTGTATTTATGTAGAAAAAATGATAAATCCAATCCAGAATATTCTACACATATAAAATCTTCCAAAAATAGACGCTACCTATTGCTGCTGGTAAGAATTTTTTTGATTTATTAGCTTACCAAAAAATGCTAATCATATTTTGAAATTCATAAGATTCTGTCGCTAGTATAGATTCCAATGCTATTATGGATTTTACTGCTAATATAGATTCCACTACTAGCAATGAATTGGTATGAATAATTTAATGTCAGAAAGTTTTTTCATACAAACATTAACCAAATATAATAGAATCTAAATCTTTTGAATTCAAGTATGAATAATATGAATATTACAAATGAACTAAGTTCAAGAATGCAAAGGTAATAA